GTGATATCAGAAGAATTTGATTATTGTCGTTATTTTTAATGTGTTTTGTTTTTTGCAACTCTTCCAGCAAATGTGGGTTTTTGATGAAGAGATCGGAATGAACCAGAGAGAAATCACCTATGTTCCTGGACTCTACAAAATCTTTGATGAAATTCTTGGTAAGTGATTCCAGACTTTTCTCTAATAAGTGTGGAAAAATGTTTCTCCCCCTCGATTAAAGATTCAAAATGTTTAAGAAAACTTGTTAATGTGTGACTAGAAATTTGGATTATTTAGTTTAAAGATGTGTGTGCAGCTGGGCCGTCGTCATCTGGGCACATCACAGATCTGTTGTTCAGTTTAAGAAAACACAAGTAAATCCCAAATATGTGTGAAACATTTCAACATTTGTCTTTTACACACTATATGAGGCATTATCATTGTAATGTTGGTATTATTCACTGAGTCAGGCTGTTGTTAGCACGGTTCTGTTAGCACCGTTAGCACTGGACTTGATGTGTACAGTATTTCTATTTATGACCTATTCAAAGTCAAATGTGTTTGAGGCAGCACGCAGTCATAGCTGCGGCCTTAACTTTATTTGGAGTCATGGTCAGTTAGCATACACTGGCTTAATAAAGCAGGCTGCATGTTATATATTAGCCTCTCAGACAAATGTAGAGTAATACTGTGTGCAGAGTGCAGCAGTGTGTGAGCTTTGAGATGATGCCACCCAAACACTGGGGGGGTTGTTGTTGGTGGTTTTCCTGCATACTTGGCCCTCTTGGCCTGCGTGTTTGTATTTGAATAATGACACTGCTCCATTGTCTGGATATTAATGCCACGACTGTGTAATTATATCGCAGGCAAAGATCTGAAACATTAATATTTCTAAAGAAGCACTTTCAGCAAAATGGTTTGTAGACCAAACGAGGTGCAGATTCATTTATTTGTAATTTCATCCAAATATGATATATGTTATTTTTCAGTTTAGTGTAGTGATGAAATGATTGATGTTACAAAAGTTCATAATACAAACAAGTTCTAAAAATGTTCTGCTGCACTGTGAGTTATACTCACACGCAGTAAAATATCTGAAGATATAAAATTGAGCACTATTTTTGGTACTTCTTGACACATTATAGAGCAGGGGTGTCAAACTCAAATACACAGTGGGCCAAAATTCAAAACTGGAACAAGGTCGCGGGCTAACATTAATATTTATTG